ACTGTGGCCTACAGCATTTAGCAAACTCTCAGGGTGTTGTGGAATATTTTAAATTTTCGAGGGAAACACAGTGATACTTGCTCAATACCTCAAAAACTACTAGCTCCAGGTGGTTCACAGCTTGAACATTACATTGTGCTATATTCCTTTCAATGACATTATTTCTTTGTGGAGCTGACTTTTAAGCAGCTGTTAGCAGTTGCTGTAATAAAAAACAAGAACAATGCTAAAAATCTACCTAGAACAGGAAATGAGGGTGGCAGTGTCCAATCTGATTCCAAGGTTTCAGACACTGGTGTAATGACCAACAGGGATACATTTCCCATTAGTAGTTATGGCTGTTTAAGAATAAAATAAAGATATTATTTTTTCTTTCAATTATATGCTATCTTCTCAAATAGCTACCAAGTTGTTAGGACATAACTACTTATTAGGTTGTGTCAAAGGAAAATAAATCTGAGAACCCAAAATCACTAAGTCAAAGGTTAAAGTCAAGCTGGGAACTGCCTCAGACAAACCTGCCTCCCATTTTATTCCTAAATAAGATAGATAGCTACAAAGAAAAAGAAGCTACATACCACCCTCACGATTTGCCCACATGGGCCTTAAGATTTTTACCCTAAAACAGTTCTGTTGAATTTCACCCTGGCAATGTATTAATAAATTGATAGCTCATCTTTACAAGTGCCAAACAAAAGACAGAACACTAAAGTCATCCTTCTGCTCACCTGAGACAAATGCTTATCTGATTGCTGCCTCTGCCCTATTGTTTATGTGAAAATGCAGACTCACTGAGCCAGTCTAAGACAAAAGTGATTATTCCTCTATCCCTCCTGCACATGTAAATTGTACATTCAGTGAAAGGCTAATCAAAGACCCAAAAGAAGGCAACCTTTTGTCTCCCATCCACCTATGACCTGGAAGCCCCCATTTCGAGTTGTCTCACTTTTCCAGGAGAACCAATGTATATCTTACACATTTGATTGATGTCTCATGTCTCCCTAAAATGTATAAAACCAAGCTGTGCCCCGACCACCTTGGGCACATGTCCTCAGGACCTCCTGAGGTTCTGCCACGGATGCATCCTTAACCTTGGCAAAATAAACTTTCTAAATTTATTGAGACCTATATCAGATACTTTTGGTTTTACAGTTGTTTGGACTTAACTACGTAACAAATGAACTGGGAAATATTTCTGGGCTAACGGCATCATGAAAAAATTACTGAGAAAATTTGGGAACCTGTTCTATAGACTCAAGAGACTCCATGTCATATAGGCACCTTTCTTGTCCCAGCTAATTTTAAATTTCACTCTTCTGAACAAATGCCCTCTGAGTGCCAGTTATCCCTGCAAGAAACCCTTCTACCTCAGTCTCAGCAGAAAACATCCACTTATGTGGAAATACTTACCATTTGCACAAAGAAATCCTCACACCTCACTGCCAGGCAGCAGGAGGAAAGAACACGGGTTAAAAGCAAGTGTTCTGCAGACAGACTACAAGCAAGTTGCTTAGCCTTCCTATGCCTCAGTTTCCTTGAGTTGTAAAGTGGGGATAATAATGCCTACTCCACAGGGTTACCGTGTAGCTTCAATGACAAGTTATAGGCAAGGACACTTCATTTTCATTTAAAACAAAAAGGAAAATCTGAAATGCTTGGCACAACTCCTGGCATACAGATCTTCAATAAATGTTGGGTATTATTTTTACTCCTGTCCCTGTATGGAGCATGACCACTGGGTTCCAAGCTCTATTCTACTTGGAAATCAGGCCACAGTCCCGTTAAGGATGGTGCTGAGTTTACTGGTGGCAGCGAGCTAGCGCCCTACCCCAGCAGAAAAGGAGCAGAGGCCGCGGGAGGGAGAACTTTTTTTTAAAGGACTGATCTGAGGTCCTTGGCTAGCAACTTCCCCCAGTGCTCTGGGGTTCTGAAGACACAGCTCGGTGCAAATTCACTTCTGACACAGGAGAAACAATTCAGAGGCCATGGATCTACTCCAGGACGGTCCTCATATAACGAAATGAAATGTTCAGAAACTGGTTTATTTTTCTCTTGGGCCCATTTCTTTCTCGACATCCTTAGAGGACAGAAGGCAGCCCTCCCAGTTAATCTTTCCTTCTCAACCTTGCAGCTTCCCGGCCACCTCTATGTGGCTTTTTGGACTCCTCTCACCCTCAGCGGTTCCCAAGGTGACACCTTGAACCCCAGGGCGGTACCTCGAGGCTCCGCCCCAGCCCGCAGTCTCCTCCCACCCCATGCCCACCCAGGCCCTCCCCACCAGCCCAGGCCCTCCCCACCAGCCCAGGCCCTCCCCACCAGCCCGGCCCCCCGAGGCCCACACCTGGAGCATTTCCTGGCAGAAGGCGCGCACCGAGCGCAGCGAGGCGAGGTCCAGCTCCCGGACTATGAGCTCGCCCGCCTCGCCGACGCCGGGCTCTGGGCCGCACTCCGCGGCCTGGCGGAGCTCGCGACGGAGCTGACCCGCCGCCTCCTCGGCGCGCGCGCGGTCCCGGCAGCCCATGATCACGCGCGCCCCCAGGCGCACCAGCTCCGCGGCCGTAGCGCGGCCCAGGCCGCTGTTTGCCCCGGTGATCAGCACAGTCTTCCCGTGCATGAGGCCGGGGTCCCCGCCTCCGCGCTGCCGCTGGACCCCGGACCCCGCGAACCGCCGGGCCGCCAGCCACAGCGCCCCGCCCAGAGCGGCCAGTACTGCCGCCGCAGTGGCCACTGCCATCGTCGGGCCCGAGGGCCCACCGGTCCCTCCACGGGAGTTCCGAAGCCGCCGCCTTACCGGAACCCAGGAGACACCTGTACGCGGAGAACTCTGGGGCGCGGCGGGTCGGCCCCTGACGGTGTGCGTGGGGCATCCTGGGACTTGTAGTTTCCCTCTGGGGGCGCCTGATTGGTTGGGAGAGTTCAGCGCCCCGGGTCCTGCGCCGTCCGTGAAACCTGCTCCCAGCTTAATGATGGAGGCTGGGCACCCAGCACGGTGTTCAGGCTGCTGGGGTTCATACGTATTGAAATCCCAGAGTTGGGGCGCACTTCCCCGTGGGAATGGCTGATGAGTACTTTGAATTACAGATCTCTGTACAGGCCCTGTTACAAATGCCACTCCTCAGGGCATTTCGTGTGTTTTCCTTTGAGGGCTCCTGGGACTTGTAAATTCAGTTCAACTCACCAGTCTGGGGAATGGGCCCTGACAAGCTGAAGTCTGAGGTAGGACTGTTTTTCATAGATGAGACAAAGAATTAAGCAACATGAATCAGTTGGAAATAGAATGGGCGAGTAGTTCTCAAACTTAAATGCACATTAGAATCACCTGGAGGACTTGCGGTGGGGGTTCGGGGCAGGGGAATGAAACAAAACGAAAACAAAAAACGAGGGCCCCAGTATTAAGGTTTCTAATTCAATAGGTACAGGATGGGGCCTGGTAATTTGCACTTCTAACAAGTTCCCAGGTGCTGCTGCTGCAGCATCTGGGAACCACACTTTGAGAACCACTGAACAAGGCATTATGTCACTGGTCCCTACTAAAAAAAAGAAAATCATCTTCAAATGATCTTGACACTGGCAGAGGTACAGTGGGAAAAGGTTGGACTTATTGTAAATATAGGCTTCTGAGCAGGCCATTTACAAATGCCTCCCTGCCCTCTCCATAGGACTATTACACACAACGATGGAAGGCAAAGTGCTTGGCTCACTGTAAAATGCCTCATTAATATCAGGGTTAGTGTCACAGGGACCTATCTTCAAGCTACAAATTTCATAGCTGTAGACGAAGCTACTTTTAAAGACTCATTCGTTCATCTGCCTCTCCATCCAATATGTGCCTGGCCTGTTCCCTGTTAGAGCCACAGAGAAATGGGACACCATTTCTGCTCTCAGGGTGCTTACTTTCTGGAACTGTGATCTCCCACTTCCCACCCTCCACTCATTGCAGGTTCTTCACACAAGGAAAAAGAGCCACAGCTTGTATAGTTTGAGACAAACTCCCCAATAATTGTGATAATCCATCTTCCACTCCCTTACATTTGGGAAGGATGTAACATGCAATAGTCAGAATACAAAGAAAAAGGGATGGATTCCAGGAGGTTTCTTATGATTAATGAGAATGGAGCTCAGAGGTGGGAAAGAGCACTCTTACTGGGGATTACACAAGGCACCAGGAACAGGAATCATGAGAGGTGGTCCTACACCACCCTATCCCCAATTTGAAGCTGCTACTCAAACTCAGTGATCCCCCAGCATATCTGTTTCCACTTTATTGTCCTTTCTTCCCATCCACATCTTGCCCATCCATCAAAATTACAGGCTACCTCAAGTCTATTATGACCACTTCCAGCCTATGAAGATCTCTGCTCCCTTCATGTGTGACCCTCACTGGCACTGAAGACAAACAGCCTTCTAGTGTTGACTGTTTGAGTTTGCACATTTGACTTCTTTGACCAGATAGTTAAGGTTTTCAGTTTCCTAGAGGATAGGGTTTTGCCTGCATACCTCTTGTGGTCTTTGCATGGGAGGACACCTACAAAATGGTAGGTACTCAGTAAGTGTCATGTGTCACAACTGATATATTTTGGACTGGTTTACATAAAATTAGGGAGCATCAGAAGATGTGTTTCAGCTGTGGTCTTCTCTCATCTAGAGTCGGGGTAGAATACATATGTCCAGGTGGAGTAGAGATGAAGGTGGAGGTAGAGAGAGCAGGAAAGGGTAGGAGGAAAAGAGGAGGGAGGAATCCTTAGACCTGCGGTGTAACTGCTGTGTAGTTTATGCATGGAACTTAATGAAATGATTAATCTGTACCAGATGGGTCCAAAGGCAATGAAATTAATAACTCTATTTGGAAGGGAGGAAAGAGACCTCATTATAACTTTTGAAGATTTGAATTTGAATCTAATTAGTCTTAACACTCATTAGCTCCATATCCTTAAACAAGCTATCTAATTAACCTTTTTGAATCTTAGGCTCCTCATTGATAAAAAGGAAGGTAATAATAATACTATGTAACAAACATTTAATTTGATAAGAAAATGAAGTAACATGTGAAAATAACCAGGTCACTGTGCCTAACATATATTTAATGACCAACCAATTTTTGTTGAAAACAAAACAAAAATCACATGAGAATGACAATGAAGGACCAGGATTCTACACTTCATGTCACATTTTGAAGTGGTAGCGTAGGGTCTTTTTTTTTTTTTCCATACAAATATGGATGTGCCAGCCTGCCAGGCCCAAAGCCAGAGACTTCAAATATGAAACTCTGTGGACCAGAGGCATTTAACCCACCAAGTAATTTTCAGAGAACCTTTCTTAAGAGTTTCTGTTTAAGGCTTATCTTAGAAAGTACCCTGGAGGAACAACCAGATGATTTATTTCTAAATGAGCAGTATCAAAATTGTTATGCAGGTAGAGTGAAATTCTCATTTTGCTTTGTTTAAAGGGCTGGCCATAGCAGTCACAGAATACAAAGGTCCAGTTTTCAAGAGTGTACTTAACCATACTCCTTCTACCTTTGAAGACACTATTCTACAATGCTGATGGGTAACAATTCATTGTTATCTACAAACATCCAAAAATGAGCAGTGCTTCATGAAACTAAGTAAGCTTCTAAAACAGTCCCTTAAGCATGCAAATATTCAAGTTCAACAGTATTGGTAGTTCAAAGAGAAGTAGTTTGATGGTAACTTGAGGGTTCAAAAGGTTTTCCAAAAAATCAAGAGGAAATCTTTCCAAAGAAGCTAAGTTTTAAGGTCCAATTTTCTGAAATACCTATCTAATAATCCTAGAGAGTCAAAAGAAGTGGCTTCTGTAATACCAGACTATTACCACTTTATTTCTCCTCCCTGCCCCTAACTACTGAATTTTTTATTAAAGCCATAAGCTGCCATGGAACCTAACTTCTGTGCCCCTTCAATGTGGAACATGTGGTCATCAAAGAAGATATGGGGCCGGATCTTCACCAAGATGGGACTTTTGGGGGCTCCAGCAAGGAAAAGAGCTTCGTCTATCTCTAGACCCCAGCGTCGAAGGGTCTTCAGCACACGGGCGCCTGAACTGGCTGCACTCCTAGCTGTAACCAGGTAGGTCCTGATAGGACAAAGTAACCGTTCATTTTTGGCATAGAACTTCTTTTGCAGTCTGCCTAAATCTTCCAGAAAGCCTTTCAGGGGACCCTGTAAAAGGAACATATATCACAGCTGTGATACAGTGAGCCAAAGAAAGTGAATGCTAAAAAGCAGAGACCCATAAGATACAATACAAAGGATATAATACAGCATGACATGCAGTGTTATGAAGCTGATGGCAAAAGGCTAAAATTCGATAGGAATTTATGTGAATATGTTGTCTGATATGGAACTATCCTTGCATTCTTGGAATGTGCCTAAAATGACCATATGATTTAACATGTAAACCTATATACTTTAAATATGAAAGAATGTTCAGTAAATAATTAACCCAGGACAACAGACATAAACTATCCATGGTAAGCTGGAATAGCGGGTCACTCTAAATAAACTCTAATTAGTTACCAAAGCACTCCTCTTTTAATTTGCTTTTTGTGAATGTGCATTTTAACTTTATAAAGTATATGCTTTTGTCTAGCTTAATGCTGTTTGACTTGAATCTAACTGTGTCTTTCATTTTTAACCTTTCCAAACACTTAGTTTTAGTATCTCTTGCGTAGAGCCTAGAATTGGATTTTGCTACGTGATACAACCTGAAAATCTTGTTTTTTAAAACAATAGTTGTTTTTGTTCATTTACATTTATTTATATTACAAATATACTTGAGATTGTTTCTGTCTTGTGGTTTTTATTGCATTTTCCATGTTTTAAAGATTTTAAAGGATTGTTCAATAATCTGTGTCTTTCTTCTTTGTAGTTGTATATGGGTGGTTCTTCTGACATTTAAGAAGGTTTACATTATTTCCTTCTATAAATTACCTTTACAACTATAACCTTTTATAGTACCCTCAGTCCTCATTTTTAAAAAGAATCCCAGATCTATTCTTCATAATGAGAAATAATGAAAGCAGGGTGTTTCTTCAATGTGTCTGTAGTCCTCTATTTCTTCTCCACCATCTAATTTTAGTCATTTATTTACTTTTCCTTGGTGTTTATTTACTTTTGCATTATTACATTTTGTTTTATTTCTATTTATCAAGTTTACATTTCATCCTTTGATTGGCTATTGTAACTGAAAATTCCAGCATACTTCTTCTGTAGACCTTCTTTCGCCATATTTTTCCATTTTTTGTTAGTTATATAATTTGTACATCATACAAATTTGTTCTTTTGTACAGTTGTTTTAGTTCGAATTCTATGGTTAACTATATTACATGAATGTTTGTGCCTTTGTGCTTCTAGTCCTCCACGTGTTGGCCAAAATTTGTCCTGTAGTACTAATTTTCTCAAAAACATCTTATGGTAATAATCCCTGAGAATATGGTATATTCTCAACTGTATATCTGTTTCCTCTGTCCTTGAATAAACTTTTGGCTGGATATAGAATACATGATTTATATATAAGATTCTCCACAAGATCTTATAAGTAGTGCTCCACTGTCTTTTGCTTTTGAATGCTGCTCTTGAGAAGTTTGAGGGCCTCTTGTCTCCCATCCCACCTCTTCCACCACTTATATGAGTAGGCAGCCCAAATAATTATTTCTTCATTTTGAAGCCCAATAATTTCACTAGGCCTCTCAGTGATGGTCATTTTGATTCTATACCTCTATCACACAATATGGGCTTTTAATATTTAATATTTTAATCATTTAATATATAAATATCTTTTGATAATTTATCAGTTTTTAATTTATATTTTTACGTTAATTTGCATCTTTATATTTAACATCAATTCCCCTCCCAACATGATTTTAAAGTTCTTCTTCAGGGATTCTACTTAGGCATATGCTGGGTCTTCTTTACCTGTTATCTATTTCTGTCATTTTTCTATGAGTAATTGTATTTTTAATCTGTACCAGATGGGTAATATCTCTATTAGAAGGGGGGAAAGATTTACAGCATTCTATAACTTTCACATTTTATCATCTCTTCCTTGATTATTGCATTTTTACTTTATGATCTTGCTTTAAGTCTTTAAAAGTCATGACAAATGTTCAGTCATAATTATCTGTATTATGTCAACTTTTTCTTGTAAGAGCTCTTCATCTGTTATTAGATTTTGTTCTTTTTTAATCTGCCTTTTTCTCATAGTATCTTTGAATGTATTCAATGTCAGTTCTCTTTTTATTATTACTTGTACTGAAGTAGACTGGTTTTTCTTGGGACAATTGGTGGGTTTCTAGGGGAAGGTCAATGGGAATATTTGGAGACTGACTTGTTTTCATGATTCAAAGGCTCCCTTCTTTGCTGTCATGGAAACAAACTGTTTTCTGTAAACACGACTTATTGTGTAACCATTTACTTAAATTTTCTTTAAGGCTGTATATCTTAGGAAAAAACAAGTAAATATACTTTCTCATGGTAAGAGGCCAAACATATAGGTGAAAAAACTGGGACTGTTTTTTTGACAAGAGCAGCAAACTCATAGTGACTGTTGGCAGGAGCCACCATCATTGCAGTTAGTCTTTAAAACACAGAGGGGCACAGTTTCCCTTGCTGTTTTTGGATGATTTCCAAATGGAAGAAACAGAGAATGCTGAGTTTATATCACCATATTCAAATCAAGTATCCATCTCATTCTCTTTTACTTCTATTTTGGGGTATGTTTTGTAATTTATATATTTGCACAGTAGTACAGCATATAATTTATCAATAAAAATATAAAATTACTAGGGAAACTTAGAAAAAGCAAATACTAGGGAAAGACTGTTACTCCAACCCTGATAACGAGAAAACTCCAATCTAAAAAATAACTTTTCTTGAGCCCATCAAAGAGCTGAGATTGTAGGGTAACCAACTAGCATGAAAACTAGGGAAAAACAGGCATCTTCAAGAAGATGTGGAGTGCAAGAACTGTATACTTTTGGTAGAGTGTTGAAAAAAGTTATACCAGATTCCATACAAGCAAGTACAAGCAATTCAAGTAATTTAAAAAAGACATTGAGAAAGAACTAGGGTGCACCAATGAGAGAGCATAGAAGCCCTGGGATCCACAGGCACGAGAAGTACACACTCTCTTTTAGGCTTTTCTCCATGGACTTCACTAGATGCTGATGACAAAGACTGCAGGCAGTAGGGTGATAGAATAAAGCCATCCTTGATGGTACAGGTGTGGAGGAGGGGAGCAGTTGCCACTGGGGGCAAAGACTAAAACTCCCCCAGTTGCTTATACCCTCAGAAACAATGAGCTTAGACTGCTAGAAGGGCTTCGAACACTGTTATCCTCCACGGCATGAGTAAAGATCCACTGTTACAGAAGAAAACATTCTAACTTTGGGAGGATAAGAGACTATCATGGATCGGTACCATTAGATATTGGCTATCACTGGGGCATGGCAAGATCCAGGAGAATGTTCATCCCTAAGCCCTAGGAAGATAGAAGAAATAGCTGGGAAGGGATAAGAACGAGGAGACCTTCTCTGCAGCAGACACACAGGGAAGGCCTACTGCTGAAAGTCGACTAGAAATCTGGAGAAAAACCCTCTGGCAAAGTTGATGCCAGACAAGCTTGGATCTTGTGGTGCCATGAAGATAACCATAGCAACCACAAAATCTAAAACAAGTTTAACACCTGATTTGATTGATTCAATCTATCACAATAATTGCTAGTCCTACAGTAAAACAGAACAAAACAAAATGAACAATCTACTTTCAGGAGAAATTAAAAGAACTAGACTCATGACCCAGATATCACAAATATAACAGAGGGAATTGAAAATAACTGTGATTAATATATTTAAATGTATGCTTTAAAGGTGGATACCATATATGAGTAGACTAGCAATTTTGGCAATTTTGGCAAAGAGATTGAAATGATAAGAGAGTTGAATGGAACTATATAAAGAGTGCCTAATGGATGTATCAGTAGACTCAACACAGCTAAAGAAAGAATGAGTGAACTTGAAGACAAGTCGATAGAAATTGCCCAAACTGAAAAGAGAGAAAGAGAAAAAGAAAGAGTGGGGAAAAAAACCCAGAGTATTGAAATGCTGTGGGACACACACACACACATACACACACACACACACACACACTCTTACACTCCCCTCTCATATTCAAGCCAAAGGAAATATAGACAATTATGAAGGCAGTCAGAGAAAAATAGACACATTACATACTAAGGACTAAAGATACAAAATTCATAACATTTGTTGTCAGAATCTTATACAAATGAGAAGACAATGGAAAAGCATCTTTAAGGTGCTGGAAGAAAAACATAGTAAGCCCAGAATATTACATTCAGTAAAAATAAAATATGGTTTTAAAAAATAAATAAGGTTAAGACTTTTTAGGCAAAGAAAAACAGATTCAGTACCAGTAGATTTGTACTACATGAAATGTTAAAGAAAACAAAATAAAACAAAAGATCTCCTGGCAGAAGGAATATGATAACAGAGAAAAACTTGATCTACACAAAGAAAGGAAGCTCTCTGAAAATGATTAAAAGGAATTCGAATATGAAATACATATTTTGCCTCATCCTTATTTAGTAGAAGGTATTTAATTACCAAAAACAGAAATAGTAGTGGAAAAGAAAAATAAGTGTTGCAGTCCCCAAGTCACTAAGCTAAACGGAAAAGTTAAGCCTGGAACAGCTTAGAGACGATCTGCCTTCCATTCTATTCAAAGTCACTGCTATGCTCACTGAGATAACTACACATAGGATTGCCTTCTTTGGAGGGGCTAATCAGAAACTCAAACCTGCCTGGAGTCCTCCCTTTCCAGACCAAACCAATGTTCATATTACATATGTTGATTAATAAATATCTCATGTCTCCCTAAAATGGATAAAACCAAACTATGCTCTAACCATATTGGGCACATGTCATCAGATCCTCCTGAGGCTGTGTCATGCGTGCGTATCCTCAACCTTGGCAAAATAAACTTTCTAAATTTACTGAGACCTGTTTCACATTTTCAGCGTTCACAGTAGCAAAGTATAGAGAGTTTATAGCATAGATAAAATAAAAATATACGACAACTGTAGCACAAAACAGGAGAGGGAGAGTTTGGCAGTTCGTTGTTGCAAGGTTCTTACCGCACATATG